AAGGTTTTTAGAGATTTCGTCTGAAATTTACCAAGTGAAATCAAACGTTACCAAATTACCAAAGAGAATAAAAGTTATGAATTTTGGTAACATTTTACCAAAGTGACAACCGTGCCCTCGAGTAGATTTCACCGGTTAAAGGCTGGGAGTACTTTCTCTTTGGTGAGTGTATTGGGAGTATACCAAACTATTAATTTTCACGCGATGTGGCTAAATATCACAACGAATCGTCACTATCACAGTTGTTCTTTAAAAATTTTATCGTTTTATCCTAAACATTGACACTGTTATGGAGTTATAATAACGACAAAAAATATTTGATTAATTTATTTCGCGATTTTTATTTTTGGCCCACTGGCAACACTGGCCATAACAGCTTTATAAGGCAAATTTACTGCCCGTCTCCACAGGATAAAGTTTATATCTTGATTCATATGTCAGAATATAATTTGCCAATGGAGACAGCTCATTGCTCTTCGAGAGCAATATATATCAGAGCCATCGGCGTAGCCAGAATGAAATTTAGGGGGGGCAGGCATTTCAGGGTACTATTTTATATATATATAAGGAAAATTTCAAAGTTAGGGGGGGGGGGAGGCTCGAGCACCCCCCTGCCCCTACCTGGCTACGCCCATGATCAGAGCTTATATCTTGCCATCTATTGCCGGCAATTTGGTAGTTTGACAGCTACATTTTCATTTGTACGAAAACTTCGTGGCTACAACATTATTATTTTAATATAAAAGCAAAAATTGAGCTGCTTCCTGTTAAAATATTTGTAATTATGTATTTGGATATAAACTAGCCTATTTTCTAAATTTTTCAAGCGATTAAATCCGGCAAAAATACGTTTTCGAAGCTATATTACAAATGCTTATAAAAAGCCCACACAAATATTGCTACTGATATAACTTATATCTAGCGACCAAAATGATAGCTGGGCAGCAATAAATTTTATCCTGTGGAGACGGTCAGTTAGCTATAACATACGAAATTTTTTTCACTCACATGGCGCCATCTATTAAATGACTTTGTCGCTGCATCCTTGACCGTTATCAAATTACTTTTCGTTGCTGTGGCCGTTGCAGCAGTCACAGATAGTGTAGCACGAGACTGTAATAATCGCATCATTTTATTGCTTAGTTTTTATAATTTCATAGGCTTATGAGTAAATTAAATAAATTAAACATATGAGTTGGAAAAAAAATTTAGAGTCACTTAAAACTGTTATTATTTATTGTTTTTTTTTTTTTTTTTGGTTTTATTATCACGTGCGAGTAAGTATATAGTAAATTAGTTGCGTTTTCACTTTTTTTCTTGAAAAGTGCAGATCGAACGGCAAAAAAGTAGTTCGATATCGTTTCTACGCGCCGATTTTCGATCTGCTTCCTATGAGAGTTTAAAACGTTCTAATCGCGACTGGAGTCGACAAGCCCCTATCAGTCCGACAGTCAGTAGCAAAATTTTCGTACGAAATCTTTTATGTCCGAAAATATAAACAACATAAATAAAACGAATTCTGTTTAAATACATACTTATGCATGTACATTAATTTGTATATATGTATGTACACTAGAGTGGTCCAAAAAGAGTAAAGTCGGAATTGCAATGCTCTCATCCCCTAGGATTGTTCTACATTGAAAAAAAATATATACCCCTATTTTTTTATTTTGAAATAAAAATTATTTTTTTATTATGAAATAAAAAAATATTTAGAGAAAAATATAATATATATATAAATATTAGAAATATTCAAAGTTTTCCATGGTTCAAATGGTATAGAATTCTTGAAAATCAATATTTTTAGATCAGAAAACTCTGGTTCTCTTCAGGATACTTTCAATAATAATACCCAATTGTTTATTTAACCATATTTTAATACTAACGATTTTTTATTGGTCGCCCCATTGCAATTTTCGGAGTTCTTGTGGGTTTTTGGCGGACCTATAAATTATAGTTGCGTTGAAAAATGGTTAAATAGACAATTGGGTATTATTATTGGGAATCTCCTGCAGATAAACGGAGTTTTCTGGTAGAAAAATATTGATTTTTAACTATTCTATACCATTTCTACGAAAAGTTGTTTTTTCCTCATATAAAATACATGGAAAACTTTGGGCGCTTTGAGCGACCTCTAAATATTTTTTGATTTCAAAATAAAAAAATAAGGAAATATTTTATACGGTATAGAACAATCCTAGGCGCTGAGAGCATAAAAATTCCGACTTTACTCTTTCACATGCAGTTTTGGACCACCCTAATGTACACATGTAAGTAGCACTCAATGCTCTCCAAGCTGATAAGAGATCCCGGTTATCAATGAAAGTCTACAGCATACATACGTATAAGTACCTACCTACTATACATAATTGTATGAAATGTTTTTTATGCTTTTAAATATAACTAATTTTGCGTACTGTTCAACATCAATGGCTTCCTTTCGTTTGTAATTGGATTTTAGTGGATAATCAAAAATTAGCAAAAATATTTAATCTCCCAACATTTTGTACATATGAATGTATGGTTGTACATACATATGCACAAATGTATATGCATACTATGTACTTAGTATATACAACTATAAATATATGTTCCTTGATAACGAAAATTTATATGACTACGTGGATGCCGGAAATTGATTGGGTGCTAATAAAGTATTAACACAAAATTAATTTTCGCGCCTAAATGATTAAAAAATTAATAAATTTAAGTTGTTGATCCCTTTAAGAAAATGTCTCTAGACTTAATCATTTCAGAGAAACAAAAAGTTAAAGGACCTAAAATCAACGAAAATAGTTAAATTTAAAATCAATGGAAAAAGAACGCGTACACCAGTTACGTCAAAAAAGTTTAGAGGAGAAAACAAATATTGAGGAAATATATTTAATGGGGTTAAAACGTTATTTTCGTCATCCTGATCACACTTTCTTCTTTATTTCTGGTTTAGCGCTACCTCCAAAGCGATTCTGACCAAGTTCAATAAATCACAGCAGTCACATACAGAAGTCACCACAACTGACGCCAATTGGAAATGCCAAGTGAAGCCAAGTCCTTCTCCACTTGGTCTTTCCATCGCAGTGGGGGCCTCGCTCTTCCTCTGCTGCCACCTTCGGGTTCCAATTTGAATACTCTCAGAGCTAGAGTGTCGCAGTCCATTCGAACGATATGGCCAAGCCGCTGAATTTTAATTCGCTGCACTATGTCCATGTCGTTGTAAAGCTCATAAAGCTCATCGTTCCATCGTCTGTGGTAGTCGCCGTCACCAATGCGTAAAGCCCGGTAAATCTTCCCCAAAATATTTCTCGAATACGTCCATGCTTTTGCGCCATATACATACCAACCGGGCAAGATGAGTGACTTATTGAGCGTGGTTTTCTTACGTCGAGAGAGAACTTTACTTCTGAATTTCCTACTCAGTCCAAAGTAGCGCTCGTTGGCCAGAGTGATTCTGCGTTGGATTTCGATGCTGACATTATTATCCATGTTAACACTAGTTCCTAAATAAGCGAAATTCTCCACTTTCTCGAAATTATAATGATGACAGAATATAGTACATACTTCATCTTGTCCTCGTTGGCCACCAGACCCATTCGTTTTGCTGGTGCTATCGAAAGCGGCTTTGAAGTCGACACTTAGGTCGTTAGTGTCGATACTTTTCTCGCGGGTCCTTTCCAAGATTTGACGCATTGTGAATACCTGGTCTATGGTGGATTTTCAATCAGTTCGTTGATGGTGGGCTTCCGTCTTTTGCACAATACGCTCGATTAGAACTTGTAACCTATGCTTAATTGTGGAATGGGCACAGCACACTTAAATTCCGGTAGTCGAGTATGCGTTCATCTGACCATATTCTGTATGAGAATTGATCATGAACCTTATCAGCAGGCTGTTAGCTCCAAAAGCTTTGTTGTTTTTCAGTCGCGTAATCGCTATTCGTACATCATCAGGTGGCGGAACACCGACTCCATCAACATCGACTGAGGGCTCGGGTTCGTCTTCTCCGCAACTTTCTGTGCTGCTACCATTCAGTAGGGTGGAAAAGTGTTCGCTCCATAATTTAAGTACGTTGTGGACATCCATCACTAGGCTGCCGTTGTTGTTCTTACAGGAGTTCGCCCTTGTCTTCAAACCTTCCGTAAGTCGCCTAACTCTCTGGTAAAATTTTCTGGCGTTTTTCCTGTCGCCTAGCATTTCAAGCTCTTCGCTAAATAAACGCGCAAAGTTATCGGGAAACTGTCCTAGAGAGAGTACTTAAGCCATGGGCAGACAAACATTTTGGCCGCAGACGTTGGACCTTCCAACAGGACTCAGCCACAAAGCGCGCATCAACCAAGAATGGCTGAGAAATAACTTTCCATGCTTCTTCCCGTCAACGCAATGGCCATTGTGTTCACCAGATAAAACCCCTTGGGATTTCTTGGTCTAGGGTATTTTGAAGAGTAAAGTCGGCACCAAAAAAATACCAAAGTGTCGATCATCTCAAGCAAACACT